TCATGCTTGAATGGGATTTAGAGTTTTGTGTTGCTTCTGATTGCTTGAATTTTCAGATCTAGTTACTGTCGATGTTGATTGAAGGAATGTTGTGTTTTCTTTACAGATCTGATATACATTTGTAGAGGAATTGATTTTTTGAATCAGATCTATTGGTCATTATTATTATTGTGCGAGGAACCAGATTTGAGTTCTATTAGAGAGGAGGTTTGGGGAAGAAGTAGATAGTGATTGGAGTGGTAATAGATGATCGGAGCAATGAGGGATGACCGGAGTAAGGAGGGATGATCGTTTGATTGGGTTGCAAGATGAGAAGACATCTGAGGATAAAGAGAGACGAGAGGTGATGGAAGATGAAAATGGAGGTATTTAAGGAATTTTAAATTTTTTAATATATAAATTAATTAAAATGACATGGACTAAGTTGTTTTCCACATAATTAAAGATTTCAAACAAATATTGATTTCGTGGCAACTAACGTGCCATCTAGCACTTCCGTCGACAGAAAGACGAAATTGGTCCCGAAAATTGAAGTCCAAGGATTTTTTTAGTACTTTTTGAAGTTTGAGGGTAGTTTTAGTTCAAAAATGAAAGTTGAGGGACTGAATCGGGGATATAACCTTCTTCTTTCCCAAGAAAAAAATTGCAGATATGGACAAGTAGTTCTTATTAGGTTAAATGCTAAATTTAGTCCCTTAACTTTATGAAATGCATATTTTTGGTCTCTCAATAAATTTTTGCACTTTTTTTATCCCTCAATTATACGAAATGCACTTCGTTAATCCTTCTATTAATTTGAGCAGTTAATTCTGCATATATGGCATTTTTTATATTTTTTTTTATGATGTGGAGAGCAAAATTTAAAAAAGTGATGATATGCACAAAACTTTTGTCATGTCATGCTACCGTGGCCAAAATGCACCAAATCCGTCCAAATGGTTCCCATATCACCACTAAGAATTGCTTTTTTGCCCATCTGTTACTGCTTCTGTTCTTTCCATCGACGATGTTCTTTCCATTTTCAAGATTGAAATCATTTAGACAATACTTAAAAAATATGAAGAAAAGAATCCCAAAAATCACTCACAACAACTTACAATTTGGATAATCTCTTGGCAAACAAACATATAATAAAAAAAAAAGTAGAGCTGGGTTCGACGAAACCCAACAGATCTGGGCTCGACGGAACCCAACAGATCTGGGTTTGATGTAACCCAGCAAATAGGTTCCATCGAACCCAGCTCGATTTACTGAAACCTAGTTGCCCAAAAATCCCTTACAACAATCTGCAATTTGGATAATCTCTTGGCAAACAATCATATAACAAAAAAAAAAAAAAAGTGGAGCTGGGTTCCGTCGAACCCAGATCTGCTGGGTTCCGATCTGGGTTCGGTGGAACCCAGGCGGGGTTCCGTCGAACCGAGCAAACTGGGTTCGATGGCCTGAGGAAGAAGAGGAAGAAAGAAAAAGAAAGAAAGACAAGAAGAAGAAGGATTGAATCTTTTTATTTTATTTTTTTTTAAATATAAATAGTAATAATGTGAGTTGGCATGAGTTGTCATGAAAAAAAAATTTCATATCAACACATTTTCAATTTGTTTTTGCCACATCATCAAAAAACTATAAAAAATGCCACATGAGCGAGTTAACGGCCTAAATTAATAGAATGATTAACGGAGTGCATTTTGTATAGTTGAGGGATAAAAAAATACAAAATTTTGTTGAGAGACCAAAAATATACATTTCATAAAATTGAAGGACCAAATTTAGCATTTAACCTTCTTATTAAATTTTGTTTTATAAAATAATTAAAATTATCATTCATGTATTATTAATTTTTTTATTTTTATCTAAAAGTAATATAATTATAATGCTGATTACCTTATAAGTTTTACAATGTTCTCTATTTTATAATATTATATGCATCATTTAATTAATAATATGTTATATTATGATTGTAGTTTTTTTTTTATTTTACTTACACAATAAAAAAAATCATATCTCATCTTTTATCTAAATTCACCCGCATGCTATGCGATTGAATCTCAAAATTTCTTATTTAAGCGAAAGGAAATGATTACACTATGATTGTAGTTATCAACAAAAATTTAATTAAATTAATATTCCTTAATTTTAAGAAAAAATTGATTTAAAACTAAGATAAAAAATTTCAAACCACTGTATTATTAAACAATTAACCTAAATAAAAAAAATTATGATAGTAGTTGAAACTCGGATTACAGATAGAGTTTAATACTACGTCTATTTTGTTAGCA